TTGGCATGATGAATTCTGAGGCGAACTGGAATTGGATTTGCATCTCCCACCAAAACGCTTACATTGATCACACAGAACCCCACTAAAGTCGTACACCACACCAAATCCCCCGCTTAAAGTATCAACCAATCTCAGGTTTTGGTACTTCTGATACACTGTCTGATTAACCTCAAGTTCAAAAGTAGTACCATGCGAAAATAGCTCTCTGTAATCATTCCTCCCAACTACTGATCCGTTGAAGACGAAGGGATCAATGTTGTTATATTTGGGTTGGCAACTATTAATAGTGTTTTCTGGTGGCAGCGTGACTTGAGCAGGGGTACAGTTATACAACAGTCTGATGGTTTGGTTGAAATTGGATGGTTTAAAGAAACGGTGCTGGGGGTTTCTGTTCTGGGATTTCTCAGGACAAAAGTAACCAATGGGATCTTTGGGACCAAGTGTCATTGTATAAATCGATTGGTTTAATTGCAATAGGCGGAACTTTCGATCTTGGCCAATATCTATGATGGGAGAAGGTTCTGAGCAGTTCAATTGGAATCCATCCGCACGGCAATTCTTGGGGGTACTGTCGTTCCAAAAAGGAAAACGAACATTTCCTAGAATACCGCAATCAATAGAAGCAGAACGGTAACACTTTACGAAATCATCTAAGTCATTACTGAATGATGGAGGGAGAAGGAGCAAGAAGGAGAAGATTGTGATGAGGGGAATAAAAGTGCGTGAAGGAAGCACCTGGGGAAGCATTTGCGTCGCGGGATGAATTGGTGGGGGAAAGGGTTAATGTGATTCGAGGTCATGCTCATCAATCTATATTTGTGGGTTAGGAGGATTTGAACTAAAGTTCTTGGTGGTGCACGTTTACAAATTACAATTACAACTGAATGGGCTGACAGCTAGAACAATAGACTGGATCAAAACAATGGATTTGACCAAGAAATTAACGTAGTCTTGATAGACTGCGGACTAAGAACAGAAGGTTCATAGAATTTTCAACTCATAATTGCTCCTACTTTAATAGCAGTGGAAAAAAATAAAAAAGATAATTATTGATGTTGATGTTTGACGAAACTGCGCAGAAACACCATCGAATCCCGTTAGGAACGTCTCTAATAATTAATTGAACTCCGACCGAGACGTAAGAGAAGGTTCATAGAATTTTCAATTCATAATTACTTCTATTTTTTTTTTTTTTATCAAGTAGATGGTTAGGAAGTTAGTAGAGTTAGTTTGTTAGTAGCTGGAATTTTTCCAAAAAAGTGAACGTTCCACCCCTCATTTGAGGCGTGCAACCATTAGGTCGCAAGTTGGTAAAATTCACGGTGCGATAGTAGAGTTCGAAACCCTGACTTCTGTCTCACCCAAACCCTAAAGTTTGGGGCCAACCAATTGAGCCATGGGTCCGGTTGGCATAATTACTTCTACTTTAATTGCGGTGAAAAAAAAAAAATTATTGATGTTGATGTTTGACGTGTCTCAATAAAGGCCTGAAACTGCGGAGAAACACCATCAACTAAATGAAGGGTATTTTTCATGGAGTCTCTTATCCCGTCGGAAACGTCTATTAATAATTGAGGGAAGACTTCAATAGGAGAAGCGTGGGCCTGGACGTCGGTCCCCTTCCCTCTTGTTTGATGGTTGTTTTTTTTTTTTTTTTTTTT